CCGCATGGAGAGGCTGAACCCTGCAGCCCCTCAGAGACCCCCGAACCCCCCGTCACCTCCCCCAGGGACATTTTTTAGCCCTTCACTCCAAGACCATCCAGGTGATTCTTCTCCCAAGTGCCACCCCAGCCCCCAAAATCGTATCTGGGGGGGTGTGTGGGGCCACCGTCATGGGGGTGCGGTGAGAGCAGCAGCGCTCAGAACAAACTGCTGGTTTACTGTAGGGTCTCTCAGAAAACACGGGGTCGTACGCACCCTGTGTTCACTTTAGGGTCTCTGGGTGTTGCAGGGGCTGCGCGTTGGATGGAAATAAGAGTCCGCACCTTTGGTTTATGCAGACTACTTGGATTTATTTCTTTTTTATATAAAAAAAAAGTTAGGAAGGAGATAAATAGAGCAACGAACTGTCACCCACAGGAGTGGGAGCGAGGAGAGGCCTCGACCCGAGCGGCCACAAGCCCCCGCGGATGCCGAAGCTCAGGTCGTGGGGACACTCTGCTTGATGATGATCTTCTGGCGGGTGGGACGGACGTTGGGGTCGGGGCCGGGGGGAGCTGTGGCCCCCAGGGCGGCGGAGGCGGCGGCGCTGGGCAGCCCGTGTGCCGTGATGTATTTCTTGTAGGCCTCCCGGATGATTTTGAAGGCGCGGATGTTGGAGTAGGGGATGTCGGTGATGGGGTCGCGGTAAACGGCCGGTTTGTGGGTGACAGGGCAGATCTCCCGCACCGGCAGCCGCGGAGGTTTTGCTTTGGGGAAGAAGCGCTCAAAGGTTTCGTCGTCGCTGAAGGAGATGAAGGTGCGGGAGCACTTCCCAGCAGAAGCCGGAGCCGGGGCTGGAGCTGCTTCGGCCTGCTGCGGGTCTTGGTCCAACCTGGAAGAGCCACAATCAGCGCCCAGGAGACCCTCGGGGCAAGAGGGAACCCCGGGGGTGCTTCCATGGTGGGGAGAGCTGCCCAATCTGCTCAAGCCACCCCCCAGGACTGGAGTGTGGGGGCTTGGGGGGCTCCAAGGGGCTGCCCAAAACCCACTTCTCCCTCACCACAGTGGAACAGAGCCCGGGGAGAGAGCGGCGCGGAGAGATAGGGACAGAGTGGCCGGGTTGGGTGTGTGTGGGGGGAAAAAGCCCACCGGGGCCACATCGAAGTGACCCCAACCTACCCCTCCACGTCCACATTCTCCTCCTTGCCCGGCTCCGGGATGAGGGGCATGGTGACAGACCAGTACCGGATAACGGGTCCCACGCACTTCCGCTTCTTCTGGACCTGCTTCTTCTTGTCGGCTTCTAGGCGCTCGTAGTTCTCTGAGAAAGCAGAGACAAACGCGGGGGAGGCTCAGCGCCTCGACGACACCCTCACCCCCCATCCTGCACCGTTTCGGGGGGAGCTGCGCCCCTGGGCATGGCTCCCGCCCCC